GGAAGAACGAGGCCACCTCCTCCCAGAAGCTTTGGAGGCATGTGATTTTCCATGGAAAAGCCCAGGCATCTGTGCACAGATGCAGGCAGGGTGCAGGCAGGCTGCCCAGTGCATCTCTGAGAATACATCCCAGCACCAGGGCCCTCTCCACACCCCTGTGTGTGAATCCCTGCACCAGGGACCTCCTCCCTTAATAATTTTAATCATTTAGAAGTGCCACTGGGTGCACAGCCTCCTCTTGGGGACCTGCCAATGTCCCCACGGCGGCACCAGCCAAAGCTCCAGGAGGTTCCTCATTAACCCATTTTAATTATAATGCCCAATGGTTTCATAGCACTTTCCAGCTCACCATCAGAGAAGGCAAAAAACTAAACCTGAACTGTTCCATCAGGCAAAAAATGATGCCAAATTCCCCCCAAATTCCCTTTGTGAGTGTCCCATAAATACCTACGTGTATCTCTGTACCAGGCTCTCTCCATACCCCCTCTATGTACATCCCTGCACTCCAGGACTCCCCGTGCAGGGATGCACATCCACACAAATTCCAGGGATTTCCCTGGATGCACAAGCCCAGAACCAGCCTCTCCCTGTGCACCCCAGCCCCAGGGAGCTCCTGGTACATCCCAGCTGCAGTACTGTGGGTCCCTGCACGGGCTGGAAGGCCAGCTCCTGCCGAGCCCATTTCAGCCTCCCACCCTGGCTGCAGGGCATGGATCCTGCCCAGAGCCTGACCTTGGGATCAGGCAGCCAGGAGCAGCCCAGCCCAGGGCTAACCCTGCTGCTCCAAGGCTGCATCCTGCACCACCAGCACAGGCCTCCATCCCACGTGGATCATCCCCCACCCCGGTGGAGCTCGCTGCCTAATTAATTAGAGGCTTTTAATTAAAGTGGGGGGGACAATGGACAAAGCAGCCCTGTTCGAAGCACTGGCAGAAATGGGCAGAGTTAAGGGGATTTTGGCACCAGGGAAAGGAAGAGACAAAAATGGGCAAAAATAAGGGGATTTTGGGCATTGGGGAAGAGTAAAAACTGGGCAGAGTTTAGGGGACTTTGTCAGCAGGGAAAGAAAAGAGGTAAAAATGGGCAGAGTTAAGTGAATTTTGGCACAGGGGAAGGAAAAAGGTAAAAAATGGGCAAAGATAAGGGATTTTGGCACAGGGGAAGGAAAGAATAAGAAATGGTCAAAGATAAGGGGGATTTTGGCAGTGGGGAAAGAAAGAGACAAAAATGGGCAGAGTTAAGGGGACTTGGGCTGGGTCACCCCCCTGGCCCTGTGCCACTGATGCCAGGCTCAATCCGCACCACTGACAGGCAGCATCACCTGATCCCAGAGAACTTCTCCCCTCTCTATCCCACATCCCAGCTCTCTGAAGGGTTGCCTCAGTTTCCCCCTACTCCAGCATTTCGCTGAGCACGGCAGATCCAGGGACGCAAAACCCGGGCAAACCATTGGAGCAGGGAGAGGAGAGCCAGGATTTGCCCATTCCCACCTCTCCCCTGCAGCTGCTGTAATTAATTAAAGATTTCCAGTAAAAAAACGAGACAACTCCCAGCCACAGCCCCAAACCTGGGCATTTACACAAATGGAACAGGGGGAAACTAAGCCCAGAAATTACAAACTCCAGGAACACACGGCCAGTGCATGGATCCGCCTCTGAGCTGTCCCCACAGCGAGGAGGAGCTTCTGGAGGCTCGGGGATGGCGCTGGGGAGGGAAAGGGGTGGTTTACACAAGCTTCCCTGGGAACGTGACCCCGCCGTTCCCGCCGGGATCCCCCTCCATCCCTGATGGCTTTTCCGGGGTGCGGCCGCCCCGCTTGGGACCGGCAGGTGGGGAAGGCCGCGTTCCCACGACTCCCGTGCTCCCCAGAGGTGCTATATTTAAATCAATATTTTCCTGTTTAATCCAAGTGCTGCTAAGTCAACAAACACAGCAGGACAGCCAGCATACCTAATTTTCCATCCCCAGATGGATTCGGCTATGGGGGGGGGAGAAAGATCCAAAGGGTTGCCAGTCTGGCAGGAAATGGACCCCAAATCCATCCCAAAAGCATCCTAAATGCATCCTGCCTTGCTGTTAGGCTGTGTACGGCTGAACGTGGGTGCACACACATGTGCTTGTGTGTGCTGCCCATTCCAGCAGCTTTTGGGATGCTGGAAGCAGGGAGAAGTCTTTATCTGGAGTTTTGGGGGTTTTTTCCTCCCACAGGATGCCCCATAGTGGGATATGCTGCTAACGACCCCCAAGGAATTAAAAGCCTGGTGCCCATCGTCAGGCACAGGGTGAAGGAGTTCCCCAGGATGAGCTGGATGGCTCCAGCCCCATGGAGAATTGCTGGGAAGCACCCAGGGCAAACAGTGCTGCCCCCGAGGAGAACACCACGTTACCTCTCTGGGCAGGATGTGCCAGATGCACCTCTGCCAAAGCCACCACCAAACCATGGGAGCTGGGAAAATATCCTGGGGAATACTCAACCTCTTGAGGGTGAAAGATTTTGGGAGAGAATCTTTTAAGGGAGCATCACTCCAGAGGTGCCAGACCCCATTATGAATCCCTTCCCAGTACAGTCTGCTGGAGATGGACACCATCTCACCATCCCACCATGATATGAGATGGATGCTGCCATCCCACAAAATTCCCAAGTGGAGGTGGCCATTTCCCCACACAGATTCACAGCCTCGCAACGCTGGCCCTTCCCATTGAGTCAGGGAGGGGAAAAAAATCTAAAAGTTAAAAAAATAAAGCAGATTTCTTCTCTGCTGGTCAGGGATAAATCCATGCTCCCAGCCAGCCATCCCAGTGCCAAGTTATATCCGGTCCTTGGTGCTCTCACTCAGAATTAAAGCAAGCCCCTTGCAGGGCTCAGTCCCCCTTGGCCCCCGCCAGACAAAGCTGATGCCATCTGACATAAAACATCCCAGCTCCACCATCTAATAAATCAAAAGGAGAAATAAAAATCCTGGTTTCAGTTAGGATATGGCTGGAGCACAAAGAAATCCCAAGGCAGGAGAGAGATTTGAAGATACAGCTGTGGTGTTGCCCTTAAAAGGGAAAATTCGCACCCTTGTTCCCCGAGGCCAGAGGGTTCAGGCAAGGTGAGGAGCAGCATCCTCAGGGTCTGCTCCCACAGGGTGGCCCATCCACCTGAGGACATGCTCGGCCAAACAGGACCCCCAGCTGGTAAAAATCCACCCAAATTCTTCCCAAAGTTGGGATCAGACCCGGGCTGGGGGTGTGTAGGGGTCAGCAGAGCATCCCTGATTTTGGGGCCATCAGGTACTAGCCACCGGGACCTGCCTGAGTATGAAATATCTCTCTATAAATTATTGAGATAAACCATATATTATATAAACTAAACATATTAATTATTTAGAAGTGCCACTGGGTGCACAGCCTCCTCTTGGGGACCTGCCAATGTCCCCACGGCGGCACCAGCCAAAGCTCCAGGAGGTTCCTCATTAACCCATTTTAATTATAATGCTCAATGGTTTCATAGCACTTTCCAGCCCACGATCAGAGAAGGCAAAGAACTAAACCTGAACTGTTCCATCAGGCAAAAAATGATGCCAAATTCCCCCCAAATTTACCCAAAACATCCTCAAGGATGTTTCACACAGTGGCCAAGAGTGGCCATCCCTGTTCTCAGCCACCAACGGTTGTTGTCTGGCAGTGGGGACAACAACAGGAAAAGGAGCTGGATGGGACGCAGAAATCCCTGGAGGATATTTTGAGGGGAATGTTGCTGCAGGGATGACGTATTCCAAGAGAATAACCTGGGGGAATGATGCTGTGGGGATGCCAGACCCCAGGAGAACCTCCTGGGGATGACAGTGCTGCAGGGCTGCTGGATCCCATGAGAATATCCTGTGAGGAGCATGCCAGATCCCAAGAGAATACCCTGGGGGGAAGATGCTGGGGGATTTTGGGAGGATCCAAAGAAAAGCAGCCTGTCTCCACATGGCTCTGCCCTGGCCAGCAAGGGTTACACCACCGGGCTCAGCCCCGGGGACTTCACGCTTGGCTGCCAGTGGCTGCTGGAAGGGAATGGTCCAGCCCATCCTCTGAAATCGGTTTGGAGCAGGGGAGAGAGCCCTGCCAGCATCATTCCTGCGAGCTCTCGGCAGATCCCCCGCGGGAACGGGTATTTCTGGGCTTCTCCCAGAGCTATTAAAAGCCCCGTGGGTGCTGGCACTGCTGTGCCGCAGCAGGAGGTGATGCTTCCAAGCCCTTCCCGGCACAAACACCCGGAGTGATGGGAACCCAAGTCCATGTTCAAACAACAGCCAAGGCGCCAGCGATGCCAAAAACCCATCCCAGGAGAGATCCCAAAGCACGCAGCTGTGCTTCAGGGCGAGCAGAGCACCTTCACATCCCCCAGACTGCACCAGCTCTTCCCCAGCGAGGATCAAACTTTCACCTATCAATCAAATATTCAGTGCATGCACAAAAATATTTTTCCCCCTTTTTCCCACGCACCAGCGTGGCAATGCTCATGATCCCAAGTAGAGGGGTGGTGGGTTTTTTGGGGAGGAAAATGCAGTTTTGCTCAATAAGGGGCGTAACATTTGGATTCCCAAGCAGAAGGATTGTTTCCCAGCCAAGGAAAAGGCAATTTTTGGTTCAGCATCTCAGGGATGGTCAATTTATCAGTACCTCATGTGGCACCACTGAGAGATGTTATATATAACCATAATGCATTTCAAAAACCCTCTTCCACCACAGCTTGGTGCTATTTAACCTGAAAACTGCTTTTTCCCATCCAAAAATCTCCTTTTCTTCAGGGAGGTTGCCCCAGTGAACAAGAGCTCATCCCCTGGGGACCACCGGAAAGGGCTGGGAGGGCTCTTGGCCATCCAGCAGTGCCTCTGGTGGGAACTTCCCCTTGTGGTGGGAACTTGTCCACCACGAGGGACACATGACAGACCCCGAGGCCACCAGTGCTCTGGACGGGTGGCGCACCCCATGAAACAAAGGTGCTTGTAGGATGGATGGGCACTTACCACCTGTGGCTTGGTCCTGGGGCCGTGCTCCTCGGGCAGCCGCGAGCACCGGGGCAGCCGGGGCGGTGGGGCAGCGGGCGGCGAGCGGGGTCCGTCCCCAGGACTGGGGGACGTGTCACCTGAGTTGAGGGCCAGCATGTACCGCTTGGTGACATCCTCCAGCGAAGGAGGCTGGAGGGCCGGGAAGGATTTCCCAGGTGAGCGGCCGGCAGCCGGCGCAGGGAGGGGGCCGTGGTGGCCGGAGGGGACGAGCGGCTCGGGGACGGTGATGGGGACGAAGGTGGCGGGCTCGCTGGTGTGACGGACGTGCTTGGTGGCCGGGCGGCTCTTGGCGAGGATGGCGGGCGCGGGGGGCGGCTGGTTCTCCTGGTGGGCCGCGCGGTTGGAGCGCTTCTTGGAGCTGCGGCGGGCGATGCGAGGCGACAGCACGTCCGCCAGCTTGGGGTCAAAGCCGTAGCCGCGGCCGGTGCCCGGTGCTGCCGGCTGTGCCGAGAGGATGGGCTCGCTGCTGGACGGGGGAATGCTGGGCTCCAGCTCGCTGATGGCCTCGCCGGGACCCTCGAAGGCGCCGGGCGACAGCTCGCCGCGGCGGCTGGGGTCACTCAGCGACTTCTTCTTGATGGTCTTGCCGTTGGCCTTGTCATCGCCCAGCTTGGCCATGGCACCGGGCTGGCTGACGATGGTGCGGATGAGGCTGCTGTAGTCCCGGGGCCCATCGCTGCCCAGGGACAGGTCGCTGCCCGCGCTGCCCGCGCTGCCCGCGATGGCGGCGGGCTGCGGGATGCCCGCCTTGGCGCTCAGCGAGCCCAGCAGGTTGCTGTCGACGGAGAAATTCTTCGCCTCCTCCGCCACCGAGCGTCTCCGGTGAGGCATGGGGTCGCTGAGGGAGCGGTAGGGCTCGGTGCCACCCTCGCTGCCGCCCTCCATCCCATTGGCGCCCGCTGACGGGAACTTACGTCGGCGCCGCAGGCTGCCAGGGGTGCTCGGCGTCTCGGGTTTGCCAGCTGGAAGGTCTTCCACCGCCGCTGTCGGGTGAGCGGGCAGCGGGGTGTCGGAGTCACCCGCTGCTGGCCCGGTACCGGGCAGCATCCAGGCATCCACAGCTTTGTGCAGGTCTTGGAAGGGCATCCCCACAGGCTCCGGCTCCGTGACGATGCCCTCGTCCGTCACGCTCGACTCGTGACCCGACAGCTCCTCCACGGATTTACTGTGAGCGAGGCTCTCCTCCAGCTCCACGTCCTTCAAACACCGCGTGCTCTCCACCTGTCCCCGAAGGGTCACGTCTGTCGTCCCCGTCACCGGTGCCACCACCTCAGCGCCCTCCACACCTCCGCTGTCCTTCTGCTCGGCGGCAAAGCCGTAGTCCTGCTGGGAACCCATCCTGCTGATCTTCTCAAACACCTGCCTCGCCTCCTGGATGTACTGGTCCTGGATGACCACGGGGAGAGGATCCTCGTCCCCCTGCTGTCCCCCGCCTGGAGCCACCCGGTCCTGGCTGTCCGTAGAGGCCAGAAGGAGCTCAGAGGAGCTCTGCTTCATGGTGCTCTGCAGGAAAAGCCGTCGCGTCCCGGATTTTTCGGAGCAGGTGAAGGACTTGGCACGACGCAAAGTGGCCGTCAGGTCCTTGAGCGTTGGCCGCTCGCCCGGCGCCCAGCGGTTTTGGGGATGAGCGGCACCGCAGCCGCCTGGAGAGGGGCTGGCACCTCTGGAGCATCCATCAGAGCCCACGTCAAGGCCGATCCTCACCCCTTTCTTCTTCACCTTCAGCTCTGAGAGGTCTGATTTGAGGAAGCTGAGCAGAGTCAGGGTCTCGGTGGCAATGTCGGGGTTGGACAAGGACTTGCGGTGCTTGGCCCGCTCCCCTTCCAGCCCTGGCTGGTTCAGAATCTCGCTCCCATAGTCCGCTTTCGCCTTGGCCACGCTCTGGGGCAGCTTGGGGCGGACGCGGACCCCCGGCTGTCCCCAGGCCAGGCCATCGCTGGCCCCGAAACTGGGCGACCTATAGATACCATAACCTGCCTGGAGAGCCCGTCCTTGGCTGGGCCAGCAGACTCCAAACTGCTCCTCTTCCTTCAGCGTCTCCGTGCTGGAATAACGACTGCTGCTGCGTGACCCGCCGGGGCTGCCGAAGGGCAGGAGGTTCACCTTGGAGACGCGGGCCACCATGGGCAGCGGGTGCCGGGGGACCACCCTAGCGCAGCCTTCGGCCTCGGCATCGCCATCCGCCGTGCCCTCCTTCTTCTTCTTCCGCGCGGCGCGGGGCCGCTGGGCAGCGCTCTGCCCCTCGCCTTCGCTGCCCGACGAGGCGCGGGGAGAACGGGCCGCCGCCGCTTCATCGTCCCCGTTGGAGCGGGGTGATGGGGAGGAGGAGGGTGCTTGCGGTCGAGCCGAGTTATGCCAGGAATGCGGGCCGGGCTCCGGCGGAGCTCCGCGGGGAGAGCGGAGCGCCGGGTGCGGGACGCGGCTGCGGGGCGGAGGCGGCGGGGGAGCTCCGCGGGCGCTGCCGCTGCCGCTGCCGCTCCCCATCCCATTCCCGGCGGCCGCCGTGGGCTGCCGGCAGCTTTCCCCGAAGAGTTTCCGCATCGCCGGGACGCTGGGCCAGCGCGGCGGCTCCGCGTTTAACCCCGGGCCCGGCGGCGGCGGCGGCGGCGGCGGTGGAGCCGGGCACGGCGGCTGAGCCCCGGCATGAGCCGGGCCCGCCGGCTCCGGCTCGGCGAAACGAAGCGAAAGCTGCCGTACCGACGGGGCCAGGCTGCCAAAAGCCCGGCCCGGTTGTTGCTCCGCGGTCGGCGCTGAAACTTTCCTACCCGGGAAGAAGAAGGAGGAGGAGGAGGAGGAAGGCGGGGAGGAGGCGGGCAGGAGGCCCCGAGCCGCCGCTACCCCCCGGCCGCTGCCCCCCTCCGCCATTGTCGGTGCCCCCCCGCCGCCGCCGCCGCCTCCTCCGCTGCCCAGCCAGGCCCCTCCCGTTCCCCTGCCGCCTCCGGCTCCCCCCCTGCCAGCCTCTGGATTTTCAGCGGGATTCGTGTCCGAGGATAATCGCCCTTTAACTGGACTAGCAGCTGCGCTTGCTGGAGCCAAACTTAGGAAAGTCTCACGGGTAAATATAACTCTGGTTTCTTTTTCCCGGTCCTGTCCCCGCTTCTAACCTTTGTTCAAGGTCGACAGCAGGATCCAAGCCATTAGGGGTAGGCTTAATTCATGAAGAAAGATGCATTACAGGATGTGCTGTCAGCCCGTGCCCTTCTTTATGCATTTGTTCCTTTCTTGCACGTGAACTTTGCTGGTTTCATGAAGTCAGCTCTCGTTCTGTTGGCACATCTGCTGTCTTTTTGTGTGCTCTGAAGGGTGAAGACTCCTCCAGTTCGAGTGGAGGAGGAGGAGGCTCTGCTTCATCCAAAACAGACGGTGGCCGTGGAAATGGACCCCTTCCCTTGGTTTTTTTTTTTTTGGCTTTTCCTCCTCCCTCACCCCCTGCTTTTTTATTTGTTGCATTCAAATAAACTTTCCTCCCCGGAGGCGGGGTTTGCTTCCCGCGGAGGGGGAGGGTTGAAGTTTTGCTCCCTTTTAAAAATTATTTATTTAATTTTTCTTTCTTTTTTTTTTTTTTTTCCCTTTCCTTTGGAGGGGAAGGGGCAGAGGAAGGCGGCTTTGCAGCTGCCCTCTCGCTAAGCGGGAGCACCTCTCACCTCCTTGCATCTTTCACCCCCCTCCCGCATCCTTCCTTACCCCCTGCCCTGCATCCTTTCTTCCACACCCCCCCGCCCCCAGCATCCTTCATTCCCCTTCCCTTTCATAAAGTGGCTTATCAAAAAGTGGGAGAGCAACTTTTTACACGGGCAGACAGTGATAGGATGAGGGGGGGACAGCTTTAAACTAAAATAGGGGAGCCTTAAGTGGCATATTGGGCAGAAATTCTTCCCTGTGAGGGGGGTGAGGCCCTGGCACAGGGTGCCCAGAGGAGCTGTGGCTGCCCCTGGATCCCTGGAGATGTCCTAGGCCAGGCTGGACAGGGCTTGGAGCACCTGGGCTAGTGGAAGGTGTCCCTGCCCATGGCAGGGGGTTGGAATTAGGTGGTCTTCAAGATCCTTCCCAACCCAAACTACTCTGTGATTCCCTCCATCCCTTCCCAGCTTTTTCTTTTTAGGGGGAAACAGGACAAATAACCAAAAACGTGAGTGCCAGTGAAAGATTCTTCCCATTGCAGCAGATTCCTCCAGACCCTGCTTTGCTGCTCATCTCGGGGAGGAGAGAACACCTAGTTCCCAACTCGCAAAGCTGTGCAGGGAAGCACTGCCCCGTGAACAGACTTTCTCGTGGGTTTTCAGCAGCGCTTGTCAGCGCTTGCTATTTGAAGCCTATAACCCTTTTTCCCCCCCAAGACAGCAGATTTATCTCCGGGGATGTGAAAAACGAAGGTGGCTGGGACGGCTGGTGGGTGAGCTGTGGCCTTGGAGACACGGATGGGGCTGCAGAGGTGTTCTGGCCATGTAGAAGACATTTCTGGCTCTGACCCCAAGGCACAAAAAAGGGGGGAAAAGAATCCAACACCTCCTGTAAATGCATTTTTCGGGGTCTAAAAATGCAGTGCCATGAGATGCTCCAGCCCAGCAAGTCTTCCTTCCCTGGCTCTCCCTTCCCACCCCCCTCCCTGCTTCCCCCAGGCCTGGGTGTCTGCTGGCTGCAAGGATGACATCCCCACGATGTCCCCCCCAGGTGGTATTTTGGGCAGATTTTATGAAAATGATGCAATTATGTGTTTCATCCCCGCTCGGTTCTGTGGGAGCTGTTCCTCAGCTGCTGGCTTTGAGCATCTGGCACGCAAAGGAGATTTGCTGAAGCCTTCACCCCGTTTCTAAGGCATCCCTTTATTCCCATCACTTCCAGGCCTGGTGGTGCCAAGGGAAGTGCTGACACGGCAGGGCAGGACATGGCGAGATCCAAAGAGAGCTCTGTGTGTCCCCTTTTCTCCAAAAACATTCCAAACTACTGATTCCAGTACCAGCAACACCATCCTGAGTTTGTTGGATGTTATCACCCGAGCCCTTGCAGCCACCACCAGACTTTTGGGATGCTGATTAAATTTTTTTCCCCCCTCAGAGCTTTATTGTGGTTCTGTTTTTCCGGCCACCTCCTCCCATGGGTCCTATCCAGGCGCTGGGTGCCCTGATGCTGCAGGGCTCCTCCCTCCCTGGAGCCAGGTGGACACCCACAGATCAGCCGGATTTCTCCAAATCTAAATATTTTGCGCCCTCTCCTGGGTCCGGATGGCGTGGCCCGGCCCTCCCACTCCGTCACCTTCCTCCTGTCTGGGAAGGGATGGAGACATCAGGCTGGGCTTGTCCCTCCAGCCACGGCTCTCGCAGCCCCCCAGCACTTTGTTCTTCCACTGCAGGACCCCAGAGATGCATCAGAAGGGATTTTGGCGTGGATGAGGCCAAGGGAAAGCACGGGGCTGCCTTTGCCTCCTCCATCACATTCTGTGCCCCAGCCCAGAGTCATTGTCACTGTCAGGGCAGGGACGCAGCTCCTGCAAAACCAGGTGGTTTGAGCTAATGCTGCTGCAGGATCCCTCCCTGACCCAGCAAAGCCGTGATGCTGAGATCTCTGAGCATCACCTGAGAGCCTGTGACCACTCTGGACACCCTCCCATCCTCATGACAGCAAGGAGACACAGTGGCACTGCCAGCATGGATGGGTGGTGGCCAGGAACCTGAGGAGAACCTGTGTACCTGCAGGGAGCAAGGCAGGATGGAGCTGCACGCTTGGCCAGCTGCAGGCAGCCAAGCTGGAGGGCTGCTCAGCCCTGGAGATTGGAAGCAAATGACTTCAATCCACTTAGGTGTGGTTATTATAAGCAGACATGACAAATGCAGTCATCCACATATATATTTATATATATATATACATTATAGATACATCTACCATGTTCAGGCAGAGAATTTCTGCAGTGCAGAGCCTGGGCTGGGCCACAAACCTCCCTCTGCTCGGATGGATTCTATGTCTGTACATCCAGTGGGTGTATACACCCATCTGAGAGAGAGCAGGAGTTAATTCCACACATCCTATATGTTAGAGGAGACTCGCAGAGCGATGAGTGGTGCATCCACCTCGCAAACCCCTCCTTGCTGTGAGGGAGCAGCATCCCCATAGGGGCTGGGGGAGCACAGTTCAAGTGCCAACCCCATGGAGAGGCCAAGCCAGCTGTGGGATGTGTGGTGACATGGCGAGGACACTGAGTAGCTCTCTGTGGAATGCATCTGCCAGCTCTGGGTGTTGTGTCCACGTGTGCTGGCTCTGATTGTGGTGGATCCTGGTTAGGAGGTGCCAGCAGGGCACCACTGACACCAGCACGGGCCAGATTTGGGGTGCTGGGCTAAGCAGGGAGCTGGATTCAGGTGAAGGTCATCAGGAGGTGACAGTGCTGCTGGCTTGTGCCTAACCCAGCCCATGGTCGTGGCTTCAGTGGGAAGTCCAGCATGGGTGTTCCAGCTGCCCTGCTGTCCCCTTTCCCTCTTCCCAGTCTGTCCAGGAGTGCTCGTGCACCATTTTGCAGCACCAGCAATACCAGTGAGCTTGTGTCTCTTGCTGGTGTGGCCTCATTCCGGGCACTGGGGGATAGGGATGTCCCAAAAAAGATGTTTCACTAAAACCACCCATGACACTGATCTTGAGCTGGAGGAGCACATGGCCCCGTGGTATGGGCTGAACCAACCCCTTCCCAGTCTTCATGCTGTCCCCATCAGGGAATTTGTAATTGAGTATGGGGACAAATCATCCCCCAGCAGCTCATCCTGAGCCAGGATGTGTCCTCCATGGAGCTCCATCTTGTTCCCACGGTCCCAGTGGGTCTTTGGTGCATCGGTGGCTTGACCACCAAGGTGCTGAGCTGCTCCAAGCGAGCAAGGGAGAGAACACTGGATCTGTGATGGGGTTAACACTGTACGGAGGTGGATCACCGTGGATCCATCACCCGGCTGCAGATGGGCTGAAAGTGCTGCCAGCTTGGGAGATACCATCCTCACCTCCTCCAGCATGTTCCTGGTGAAGCCATCTCTACTCCATGGAGTTTAGAGCCGAAATGCCCCGTGCCTTGGTGGCACCGGGGTGGCCTCGTCCTCGCCTAGGAGCCGTAGGTGACGCAGTGGTCGTGCCGCCACTTGGAGCTCACCTTGTCGAGGAGGTAGCGGGTGCTCTCGCGGAACTTGCGCTGCGTGAAGTAGAAGAGGATGGGGTCGAGCACGCTGTTCATGCTGGCAAAGGGCCGCGTGCACTTGTAGGCGATGGCAAAGGCCTGCAGGGCCGGGCAGGGCAGGGCGGGCGACGAGCGGACGATCAGGTAGATGGTCTTGGTCAGGTGGAAGGGGAAGAAGCTGATGGAGAAGACGATGACCACGATGATGACCATACGCACGGCTTTGTCCTTCCTCTTGTGCACGGCCAGGCCGATGAGCTCGTCCTTCTGGCACAGGATGCGGGCCATGCTGCAGTAGCAGGCCAGGATGGCCACGAAGGGCAGCAGGAAGCCGGTGAAGGTGAGGGTGATGCCGTAGGGGAAGTAGGCGGCGGAGCGGTCGGGCGCGCTCAGGTCGTAGCAGACCGTGCGGTTCCTCTGCGTGCCCGTGGAGGCGAAGACGAAGGTGGGCAGGCACTGGGCGATGACGATGAACCACACGGCCGCGCACACCAGCCACGTCAGCTTCTTGCCCTTCTTCTTGTGCCACGAGGCCAAGGGGTGGCAGATGCCCAGGTAGCGCTGCACGCTGATGCAGGTGAGGAAGAAGATGCTGCTGTGCAGGTTGGTGTAGAACTGGAAGCGCACGAATTTGCAGGTGAAGTCCCCGAAAGGCCAGTAGTCCTTCTGGGTGTAGTTGTAGATGAGGAGGGGCAGGGAGCAGACGTAGAGCAGGTCGGCCACGGCCAGGTTGAGC